TTTCTTCTTCTTCAGATTTATTGTTTGTGTATAGGAAGGCTACTGACTTTTGCGTGTTGATTTTGTATCCTGCCACTTTACTGAATTGATTGATAAGTTGAATTAGTTTTTCTGTGGAGATTTTGGGTTCTCTATGTATATTATCATATCATCTGCAAATAGTGATAGTTTGACTTCTTCGTTTCTATTTGGATTCCTTGGATGTCTTTCTCTTGTCTTATTGCTCTGGCTAGACGCTCCTCAGTATTATATTGAAAAAGCAGTGGTGAGAGTGGACTCCTTGTCTTGTTCCAGATCTTAATGGAATTGCTTTCAGCGTTTTCACCATTGAGATGATACTGGCTGTTGGCTTGTCATAGATGGCCTTTATGATGTTGGAGGTATTTCCTTGTATCCCAAGAATTTCAAGGGCTTTTTATCATGAATGGTGTTGCACTTTGTCGAAAGCTTTCTCAGCATCTATTGATTTATCATATGGTTTTTATATTTCTTTTTGTTGATGTGTTGGATAACGTTGATTGATTTTCGGATGTTAAACCATCCTTGTGCCCCTGGAATGAATCCAACTTGGTCGTGGTGAATTATCTTATGGATACATTGTTGGATTCTGATAGCTAAAATTTATTGAGGATTTTTGCATCAGTGTTCATTAGGGAGATTGGCCTATAGTTTTCCTTTTTTGTGTTGTCCTTATTCGGTTTTGGTATTAGTGTAATATTGGCTTCATAGAACGTGTTGGTATTGTCCTTCCTTCTCAATTTTTTGGAAGAGTTTGGTGAAGGATAGGCACTAATTCGTCTCTGAATGTTTGGTAGAATTCATTTGTAAATCCATCAGGTCCTGGGCTTTTGTTTTTGGGGAGGTTTTTAATTACCATTTCAATTTCGCTGCTTGTAATTGGTCTGTTTAGGTGTTCTATTTCTTCTTTATCTAGCTTTGGGTGATTGTAGAGTGTAGGAGGATTTGTCCATCTCCTCTAGATTGTTGAACTTGTTTCCATATAATGTTCATAGTAGTTACTGATTATTCTTTTGGATTTCTGCTGTGTCCCGTTGTGATTTCTCCTCTTTCATTTATGATTCTGTGTATTTGTGCTTGCTCTCCTTTTTTCCTTTGTGAGCCTGGCTAGGGGTTGTCTAATTTTCGTATTTATTTTTTCAAAGAACCAGCTCTTGGTTATCATTGATCTTTTGGATTGTTTTTTTAGTTTCAATTTCATTTATTCTGCTTGGTTTTTATTATTTTTTTCTTCTACTGGTTCTTGGGTTTTTTTGGTTTCTTTTTCTAGATCTTTGAGCTTCGAGATTAGTTTGTTCTTTGAGTTTCTTTCTTGTTTTTGATGTGAGCTGTCTATTGCTATATATTTTCCTCTTATAACGCTTTTGCTGCATCCCATACATTTAGGATATGGGTGTCCTCCTTGTCATTCAATTCAAAGAATTTTTTTAATTTCTCTTTGATTCTCTCGTTAGTCCAGTGTCCTTCCAGTAGTGTGGCTTTTAATCTCCATGAGGTAGGATAGTTCCTTGCCTTTTTATGATTTATTTCTAGTTTGATGCCTTTCGTGGTCAGAAAAATGGTTGTATGATATTCAATCTTGGGTAATCTGTTGATGTTTGTCTTGCGCCCCAGTATGTGATCGATCCTGGAGAATGATCCGTGTGCGCTTGAGAAAAATGTGTACTCCGTTTTTTTTGGGTTTAGTGTTCTATAGATGTCTGTTAAGCCCAAATGCTCTAGGTCCTTATTTAGAGCTTTAGTTTCTTTTACTTATTTTTTGTCTTGTTGATCTATCCATTGTTGATAGTGGTGTGGTTGAAGTCTCCCACTCATATGTGTTTTCTCTGATGTCTTGTTTTCAGAGAGGACAACAGTTGTCTGATATATTTGGTGCTCTTTCGTTTGGTGGTATATGTTAATGAGTGTTATATTCTTCTGAAGTATTGTCCCCTTAATCATAATGTAGTGACCATTGGGGTCTCTTTTTATTTTTTTGAGTTTGAAGTCTGTTTTATCTGATATAAGTATTAGGCGTTCCTGCTTTCTTTTTGGCCCATTTGCTTGTAGGATTGTTTCCATCCTTTGACTTTGAGCCTATTTTTATCTTTTGTAGCTAATGTGTTTCCTGGAGACAGCAAAAGGTTGGGTTTTGTTTCTTAATCCAGGCTGCAACTCTGTGTCTTTTTATTGAAGAGTAGGAGTCTTTACATTTAGAGTTAATATTGATATGTTAGCATCTGTATTTGCCATTATGTTTGTCTTTTCCTTTGATTTTATTTATTTATTCTTTTAATAACTTTTTTTTTTTTTTGGTCGTCTTTCGTTGTTATTCGTCCCTCTGAGGTTCTGGCTTTAGATTCCTTGTAGTAATTTTTTGGAGTGGGGGTTAGTCGCAATGAATTCCGGAGTTTCTCTTTGTCTGGGAAGGTCCATAGTCTTTCTTCATGGAGGAAGAGAGCTTTGCGGGATAGAGTATTCTTGGTTGGCATCTGTTTTCTTGGAGTCCTGTTGACTATGTCCCTCCACTCTCTCCTTGCCCGTATGTTTCTTCAGAGAAGTCTGATGTCAGCCTGATTGGTTTTTCTTTGAATGTTATCTGTTTTTTCTTCCTCTTGTCAGCTTCATTATTTTTTCCTTGTCCTGGATTCTTGGGAGCTTTACTATTATGTGTCTTGCTGTTGTTTTTTCCTTTCGTCGTGAAGTTTGGTGTTCTTCTTGCTTCTTGTATATCATTTTCAGTCAGCTCCTTCTTCTCATTTGGGAAGTTCTCTTCATTTATCCATGATATATTTTCTCTGTTCCTACATCTCTCTCCTCTCCTTCTGGAATTCCTATAACTCTTATATTTCCTTTCCTCCTCATGGAGTCAGATAGTTCCGAAGTCTTTCTTCATTCTTTTTCCTTCGTACGTCTCTTCCTTTTCTGTTTTGGTTCTTTTTATTTCTGTGTCTTCAAGTTACTTATTCGTTCTTCATTTCATCTATTCTGTTTCATTGCTTTTCCCAGAGTTCTTTAGTTCCTCCATTAATTCTTTGATCTCCTGCATTTCTCTTACTTCCCTCTTTAGGGACTCAATTTCCTTCTTCTGATCTATACTATCACTGTTTTAATCATGGCATTTTTAAAATTCTCTTTCTGGAGGCTCAGAAGTCTTCCAAGTTGCTGTCGTTGCAATCTGGGGAGTGGTTTTTCCTTTTGTGGTGTGCTCTTTCCTGAGGATTTTTAGGTTGCGTGGGTCTTTCTACTTCTACCCTACTCTGTTGTTTCTAATTTGTCGTATGCGTTGGGACACGGTGTTGCTCGGATGACTGACATCTTGTGAACGTCTCTCCGCTTCCCTCTGGCTCTTCCAGGAGCCATCTCTGTCTTCTGGGGAGCTTTCTGCTGGTTTTAGGCAGTTTTTACTGAAGAAATGTCCCTGTTCTCAAATGGCGAAGCAGGATGCAGTCCCTGTGCCTCCGGTTTTTCAGGCACACTCTTCTGCGCACCCGGTCTGGCCCGGACGTGGGTGCCTGCTCCCTCTGTGGGCTCAGACTGCTGGTCGAAGGGGCCTGGCGTGGAATAACTTCCCGGCTTGCCACTGGGTCCTCCAGAAAAACTTCTGCCCTTTTCAAGCAGACTTAAGAAATGTCCTGTTTTATAGGGTGTTAGTGACTTTTTTTTTTCCTGGTCGCTAGGTGGCGCCAGAGATCTCTCCTATTGTCCTTGGGGGCTGTTTTTCGCCTCCCCCCCCCAGTGGGACAGAGAACATAGCGGGAATGGTAGGGTACACCTCAACAGCTTTGGGGTGCTGTGCCTGCCTTGTGCCCCACCGTCGTGGAGAAACCACGCCCCGAATTTTCGTGCCCCGGTCTCAGTTCAAAGCCCTCAGGTCCAGGACGCGGGCTGTAGCCCAGTTCAGTGGCGCGGGAATGGCGCCTTTTGCACAGCTCCCGTGCCTGGGCGCCTGGTTCCTGCTTACTCAGGGAGGGACCTTCACCTCAGTGAGGACCTCCGTGCGTCTCCCCGCAAGCCTAGTCGTCTCCCCGCAAGCCTAGGTCGCAGGCGCGGGGACCTGGGCAGCCGCGATCCCGGTCTGCACTTGCTTTTCAAGCGCGCCAAGCGCGCCGCGTTTCCCGCGCAGGCTTACTGGCAGCCCGGGCTGTGTGCGCGTCTCCCGGGGTCTTTGTTCTTCTCTAATGGCGCCCGGAGCCGTTCGCTCACCGCCGCGGCGGATCCTGCAGGGTTCGCCTCAGCTCCCGTTCACGGGGTGTGGTGGCTGCAATAGTTCCTTCCACTCACAGTCCCCTTGCTGCGTCGTTTGTTCTTGTTGGTTGTTTTGGTTTGTTGTTTCCTCCTCTCTGCCGGTCGGAGAGTGCCGCCTCTGTGGGCGGGGGAGGGGAGCAGGGTTCTGCGCTTCCCTCCCTTCTAGTCCTCTTTTATGGCCACTTTCTTCTTCGGGCAGTTCGCTGGCGTCACCCGTTTATCTTCCGTGTCCCAGTTCTCACTGGGACCTGCCGCTTTTCCTCCCTATTACTTTTTTTAATGGGAGATCTTACTCGCAGCGTCTCCTCGCCGCCATGTTGCTCCGCCCCCTCCTGTTTTCAGTCTAAGCATTTTCATCTACACTGTTTTTCAGGGCTAGAATTGGTAGTATGAGAAAAGCAAAACAGAGATCCAGAAAATGAAAATGAGAGACAAGGTGGTAACAGAAGCAAAGCAGACTTTCTCAGCAAGTCTGCATCTAGCAGCCACACTAATGATTCAAGGTCATCAAAATTCTAAGCCAAGGTTTCTTAAGGTCTTACGAGGAGGAATCGCATTGACCCAATCTGGTATAGATCCAGAGTACAGGACAGGGGAGTTTGCAGAGTTGTGTAGGTTGCCTGTCAGTGTAGATAAATGGTTTTTCAGGCTTTTCTGCCCTCCCACCATTAGGATTGCCAAGCCTGATGGGGCACCTGCAGTTGTTACATTGTTGCAAGCTATTGTATTTACTTCTGTGGGGTATGGGAGGAGTATTGAGATAGTCACCAAGAGAAGCAGAAGCAGGAGAGGGGCAGGAGAGAGAAGGGGAGAAAAGAATGCTATAGAAGCCCAGAGTGAAGACTTGCTGGGGACTTGGAGGCCTCCTGGCCTCCTGGCCCCCAGGGACCCTTGCCTGCCGTGTACCTGTTTGCCACACTACATGTAAAGCTCAATAAAAGCCTGAGAAAGCCACCAAGGGCTCCAGGACTCTACCCCGGCCTGCTCAGATCCTAGATATCCTGCTCTGCGGCCTTCCTGCCACTACAATTGGCATAAGTCGGCAAGATAATTCAAAGCAGACGGGTATGGAACCCTTCAAAGACCTCAGGCGGGACTGAGGAGGAGCAGCCTTCGTTTGCCTGTGACAACGCTGGACGTGCCATGGCAGCACAGATGGTGAACAGAGTCCAGGAGCTGTGGAAAGAGCTAAAGATGCTGCAGGAGCACAGGAGGTGGACAAGGTTTGGGAGCTGCGGGACGAGACCTCAAGTGGAGGAGGAGACAGCCTCCGAGGACCAGCCCATGACCCCTGAGGCAGCAGAATTGTAGGGGAAGAAAGGAGCACGATTCAGACCTCGCCCAGTGCTGAGGCAGGAAAAGACTGATGGACTTGGACTGACAATCCCACCAGAAGGCAGAGGAACTTTGGCAGGGTAATGTTATGTTTTGGTGACCCTGGGGGAGGATAGTATTGTTTGTGTTTACCCCAGGACATGGGAATCTGGGGGTGGTCAGTGGACCTTGATGGCCAAAAGCAGCCTGTGTACTGCCCAGCAGCCAGGCAGAGGAAGAAAAACAACTTAGAAAGGCAAAAGCTGGTGCTGAGATTGGGAGACCCTGAGTGGCTATTAAGCAGCCTAAGTAAAGAAGGCCAGTGAGTCTCCAAAATCACCTGTGGGTGATGCCCTGCTCACTGTTGAGTGAGAGTGAGGAGTTGAGGAACCCGTCGTTGGGGGATGGATGGGGAACATGGCTTGGGGTAGAGCCCACAGCCAAAGTGGGGACCAAGGAGAGGCCACATGTGGAGCTTGTATCCACGGATCCCCGACCCATGTGCCTGTGCAATGGGTTGGCCTGAGTGCAGGGGTCTGCGTGTCGCATTGGTGGCTATGAAAGCCGAGTGTTGGAGTGACCGCAGACAGAAACCCTGAGGGTTGGCGATTACCCCCAAAGAGTACAGAATTGCCAATCCAGGAGTGAGCGCATCCTGGGGGTGGATGCGGTGTGTGGCTTGTGGCGGGACCACAGCCGGATGGTTCCCTCCTCCTATGAACAGTGCCTTGGGCAGCATAAGTGGTGGATCATCTCCTGGTGCCAATAGTCGTCTTTTGCCACTTGGTTGGTGCCCTGCCTGGAATTATTTGTGTTCTGTTGTATTTTCTTTTGTGGGCCATGGCTGCTGTGTGTGTTTGTTAAAGGAAACTTGTGTATACTTGTATATGGATTCTATGGTAGAAAACCCTGAGGGGGTGGATTGTAGGGTAAATGTTTTTTCAGGCTTTTCTGCCCTCAGCCATTAGGATTGCCCTGCCTGATGGGGCACCTATAGTTGTTACATTGTTGTAAGCTCTCTTATTTACTTCTGTGGGCCAGGGGAGGGGTACTGAGATAGTCACCAAGAGAAGCAGAAGCAGGAGAGAGGCAGGAGAGAGAAGGGGAGAAAAGAAAGCTATAGAAGCCCAGAGTGAAGACTTGCTGGGGACTTGGAGGGCTCCTGGCCTCCTGGACCCCCGGCACCCCTGCCAGCCGTGTCCCTGTTTGCCACACTACATGTAAAGCTCAATAAAAGCCTGAGAAAGCCACCAAGGGCTCCAAGACTCTCCTTTACCCCGGTCTGCTTGAATCATAGAAAACCTGCTCAGTGCCCTTTCTGCCCCTGCAGTCAGCAACAGACCTTGTAGTTATTATTTGCTGATAAAGCTCAAGTGAGTCAGATGCAGCATAAAATGAACTCTGCATTTGTTTGATTTTGCCACAAGAGAGTTCAGCCTGCGGCATACCAGGAGTGAGCAGGCGCTAGTCTCAGCATCAGGGCACCAGAGTTGGGGCATGTGCACCAGTGACCTCCCTTATGTGAGCTGTGCCCTGTCCTGGTCAGCTTGGTCAGTGGGTGTCAGGGAGTTAGAGATCCCTTGGGTTCCAGAGACCATCTCTATTTAGCCTTCATCTCTGAAACCCCAGTCAGTGGGTGCTTTCCTCATAGTAGGACCTCTGTCTGTGTTTGAGAAGAAACAGTATCATAGCACCTCACCCTCTAGTCAGGGCCTGGTCAAAATCCTCCAGTGGTTTTTGTTTTGTTTTCCAGAGCAATTCATTGAGAGTGTCTATAGAGAGATCTTTTTGACGGTATTACACAACTGGAACGGATTTCTTTTACTTTGCATAATGGTTTATTTTTTTATAACTACTTCCTACATAGATATCTCCAAGTTTCTTTTCTCTGTATGTCTGCTTTTGTCCCCTGCTATGTTCCCTTATACCCCTGTGACCCTTTATCCCTCCCTCACTCTATTAACCTCAGAAACCTCACTTCGTTTGGGAATATCTCTTAGTTTATAATTAGTTTGCTTAGTTTATCCATCTGCTATGATTTCTTATTTTACTCATATGTATGAAAACATCCAATATTTGTCTTTATCTTTCTGCCTACATCATTCCCCCAAGCTCCCTCCATTTTACAGCAAATGGTAACAGTTTCTCTCCTTACAGCTGAATAGTATTCTGTTGTGTGGATATAACAAATCTTATTTTATTATTATTATTTTTGTTATAACATCAGTTTACATCACTGTTTTGCTGTGTATTAAAAGTGTAGGATCTCCCCCCTCAAGTGCTGTAACTACAATGCAGCCACCACCAAAACACCCATATTCCTACATCATAGTCCATTGTGCTCTCTCCAAACCTTGTTCTCACACCTCCTGCCCCTCCTCCTCCCTTCTCCCTCCATCTGGTAGCCTCCCTTCTATAGTCAGATTTCTAAGGTTAGTTTTTTTTTTATTTATATAAATTATTTTTTAAAATTTTCTTTTTATTTATATATATTTTACGTCATTATTCATTTTTAAACAATGTTTGCTTTCCCTCCACCCCTCAGGTGTAGAATTTCCTTCACAGAATTTCCTTCACCAGTGCACCCATGCACCATCATAAGGTGAGTTCTTAATTTGACTTTACCTGACCCTTTGTTTGGTTTCTCTATATTCCACATTTAAGTGACACCAGCTGGTATATGTCTTTTTCCTTCTGCTTTATTTCACTTAGTGTAACCCTCTCCAATTCCATCCATGTAATACAATTCAATAAAAAGAAAACAAATAACCCAGTCAAAAACTGGAAAGAAGAGATAAATAACAAATCTTTTTATCCAATCCTCTATCAATGGGCATTTAGGTTGTTTTTGGGTCTGAGATGTTGTAAATAATGCTGAGGTTAACATTGTGGAGCATATGATTTTCAAGTATATGGTTCTTCAGACAGATGTCCAAAAGTGGGATTTCAGGATCATATGGTATTTCCATTCTTAGTTTTTTCCCAAATAAATTAACTTAAAATTTATTTATTCATTTTTAATTGAGGTAATATTGGGATAGCCCTGTCGGTTATTACAGCCATAGTACACCCACCGCCCATGCACCCATATTCCACCACCATAGACCATTGTGCTTCCTTCCTTTTTTTCTTTTTTCCCCTCCCCCTCCCCCTCCAACTCTCCCTTCCCCTCTCCCTCCCCCTACCCCCCTTGGTGCTTCAGTTCTGTCTGTAGTCATCTACCAAGAGTTAGTTATTAAGCTGTCTTTATCTGACTATTAAATTAGTTACTTTATATTTCACATATTAGTGACTCCATTCTTTTTTCTTTAAAAAAAATTATTTATTTATTTTATACAAGAACTGGGGTATGTAGATCAGAAGCGCGGGAGGGTGAGAGGATTCACCAGAGACATCAGGGAACAGAACAGGCAGACAGACCGACGACACTGCTGAGGGGAGCAGCAGTCGAGGCAGGAGAGGTCCGCTGCGCCACGTGGGGTTCTGCCTGGTGGCAGGGAATCTAACTGGCGCTGTGGACAGAGGCTGCGGACAGCTTCCCAGCGCAGCCCTCAACCGCTGCGCCACCAGGGAGTCCCCAGTTCTAATTTTTTTAAGGTAGGTCCAGACTACTTTCCAAAATGGTCGCACAGTTTACATTCCCACCAACATGGGGTAAGTTTCCTCTTTCTTCATATGCCCTCCAGCACTTGTTGGGAGTCTCTTTCTGGTCTTAATTGACACCATTGAAATGAGTGTGAGATGATATCTCATTGTGGTTTTTTGTTGTACTTTTTGTTAGAAAGAGAATTTCTTTTTATTTATTTATGCATACAAGACCTGGGGTGTAGGCCAGAGGTGGGGTTGGTGGAATGAGAGGACTCACCAGAGACAGAGTGGGGAGCAGAACAGGCTAATCTGCTGAAATACACTGCTGAGGGGAGCAGCGGTCTAGACAAGAGAGGTCTGCTGTGCCATGTGGAGGATCAAACTCATGCTGCAGTGGCTGCCAATAGCTTGATAGCTCTGAGACTTAACCCTTAACCCCTTGCACCATCAGGGAGGCCCTCATTGTGGTTTTGAGTTACATCTCCCTTATTAAAAGTGATATTAAACATGCCTCCATACATTTATTAGCCTCTGGATGTCCTCTTTGGATAATTGTCTATTCAGATATGTTGTTCATTTATTACTTGAGGGTTTTTTGTTGTTTGGTTGGTTTTGTTGCTAAATTAAATGGTAGTCATTTTGATTATATTGATTCTCCCCACATCTGAACTCAGAATATCTTCTAGCTCTTTAAATCTTGTTCTATAGCCTTTAATAGAGTCTTATAGTTTTTGTTGTATAAATCCTTTGCCTCTTTAGTTAATAAAATCCCTGGGTATTTGATTCTTTTTGATGTGACAGTAAATGGAATTATTTTTTAATTTCTTTTTCTTCATGCTCATTATTTGTATACAAAAATGTGACACATTTTTACATGTTAATTTTGTAACTGCACTTTGATGTATTCATTTATTGTTCCCAATAGTTTTTTTTTTAAATATTTATTTATTTATTTATACAAGCACTGGGTACAGTCAGAAGCGCGGGAGGGTGAGAAAATTCACCAGAGCCAGAGCGGAGAGCTGAGAGCTGAGAGCAGAGTGCAGAGCGCAGAGCAGGTAGACTGATGAAGTCCACTGCTGAGGGGAGCAGCGGGCATGGCAGGAGAGGTCTGCGTGCCATGTGGGACCCTCACCCGGTGGCCGGGGATTGAGCCGGCACTGCAGAGGCTGCAGGCAGCTTCACAACCCAGCACTCAACCACTGCGCCACCGGGGAGGCCCTGTTCCCAATAGTTTTTTGGTGGAGTCTTTAGAATTTTCTATGTATAGAAATACCATAATGAAAGTTTTACTTCTTTTCTACTCTGGATTCCTTTTATTTCTTGTTCTCTAATTCCTGTAGCTAAAATCTCTCAAGTGGTGGCATCTTTGCCTTGTTCCTGATCTTAAAGGGAAAGCTGTCAGTTTTTCACCGTTAAGTAAAATATTCATCATAGGTTTGTGATATATGAACATTATAATATGGACGTGGGTTCTTTCTGTTCCCATATTAAGAGTTTTTAATCATAGATGGTGTTGCATCTTGTCAAATGTTTTCTCTACATCTGTTGATTTATCATATGATGTTTATCCTGTCTTTGATTGATATTGTATTGATTGATTTTTGTATGTTAAAACATCCTTGGATCCCTGGGATAAATTCCACTTGGTCATGATATATGATATTTGTAAGGCACTGTTGAATTCAATTTTGCTAGTATTTTCTTGAAGAAATTTGCATTCATAGTCATCAGGTCTGTAGTTTTCTTTTTCTGTGCTTTGTTTGGTTTTGGCATTTGGGTAATGCTGACATCTTAAAATATATCAGGAAGGAGTCCCTCTTCTTGGATTTTTGGCAATAATTTGAGTAAAATGGGCATAAGTTGTTTCAAATTTTGATAAAATTTGCTACTAAAGCTCTCTGGTCCTGAGTTTTTGTTTTTGGGAAAATTTTTGATTACTGTTTCAATTTCCACAATCATCACAGTTCAATCAACTCTTCTGTTTCTTGGGAAACTGTATTGTTATAGAAAACTGTCCATTTCTTCAAGGTTGTCTCCAGTGGCTTTCTAATATCCTCAAGTTAAAGCCTGCCCTATTCAACTTGGTTTCCAAATCCCAACATAGATTGCATTCAGGCTTATCTCAAACTAGGCCCCATTCCCTCCCCTCACATCACACATTTAATGTGTACACATCCTTGATATGATCTTCCTGTACCCTCAGTGCATGTATGTGTGGAGGGGGAAAGGAGAGAGAGAGAGAGAAAGAGAGGGAGAGGGAGAGATTTCCTCTTATAAAGGCCCCAGTTCCTATTGAATTAAGCCTCTATCTATCTATCTATCTATCTATCTATCTATCTATCTATCTATCTCTTCATTGAAACTGATTATCTCTTAAAAACTTTACCTCCAGATAGTCATGTATGACTGTATCCATAGCATCTATAATAAGCAAAAGGTTTTCATTTTGATATAGCTCATTTTATATATCTTTTTATTACCTCTATTTATTGACATCGTATTCAAGAAATTCCCAAATCCAATGTCATGAGCTTCTTCTCTATGTTTTCTTCTATGAGCTTAATTCTTACATCTAGTTCTTTTATACATTTTTTGAGTTAAATTTTGCATTTAGTGTAAAATATTGGTCCAACTTCATTCTTTTCATGTGGATATTCGCAATATCATTTTAAAAAACAATTGTCCTATTCCCATTGAATAGTCCTCCATCCCTGTCAAAGGACATTTCACCGTTTGTGTGTTTATTTATCTTCCATTCTATTTTATCTTTTATATATCTATCTGTCTTTATGCCAGTACCACACTGATGTAATTATTGTAGTGTTTTTTTGTAATATTTGAAATCAGAAAGGGTGAGACCTGCCCCTTTGTTCTGTGTACTTTCCAGAACTGCAATTGGTGGGTTGTTGCAAGATGCTTCCACTACAAGGCTGAGAGCCACTCTAAGAATGGGGTTTTTGTGACCTAACAAGCAAGAGAATAAAGAAGAGACAACAGCAAACTTTCCTGTTCAACCCCACCTCCTTCCCCCAAAATTCCTTTATTGTTAATTTATAAGCTGGGAGTGGAGAAGGAAAGTAATTAATTCACATTATATCTTATACCTCTTCTTCTGCATCCCACTGCCCCTTTCTAAATTCTGTACCTCTGTCCCAATAGCTCAAGTATGAATGTCCTGGTTAATCTGTCTTTTGTCTCTAGTTTCATTGAAGTTTGATACCGTCCTATCACCAGATCCTTCAACAACTTCCCCTTGTCTGTGTTTGCCATCCTACTCCACCCACCAAAGTAGATTTCATCTCAGACAATATGTATTCAAAGCCCCAATATTAGAATTCAGCACACATAAACAGAATAGTGAGTGTTAATGACGTAGTATCTGAAATTCTAACCCTTTCAGTGAAAGAGAACTACTAACAAATGCCTAAGTGCTGATGCAGATATTGTGCTTTCCATTTGAAACAAATATACACTCTTAAGAGAAATAGGCAATCTGCAAACATTTCTAGTTTTTATCTCATCAGATCCATTTTCATATAGGTTTGTTTACCCTTGATATAATTCATATTTTTGTTTTTGGATAAGAGATTGTATGCACAGAAAGGGAATGTGACTTGTGGCACAGAAAATTCATTGCTAACACAGTTTAGTTTCATGGAAGTTACATTCCAATCCTGGCCCTGCTGCTTACACTAATTTATAACCTCAGACAAGGTATATAAGCTCTGCACATCTTACTTTCCTCATCTGTAAATGGGTGAAATGATGAAAGGGATCAAGAGTTACAAATTTACAGTTATGGAATAAGAAATTCATGGGGGTGTAGTGTACAGCACAGTATCCATAGGCAAGAACATAATAGTGTTAATTTGAAAAATTGCTTTGAATAAATGGGAAATAGACTTATTACAGTGATCATTTTGCATTGTATACAAATATCAAATCATTATGCTATACACCTGCAACTAATACAATGTTGTGTGTACATTATACATCAATAAAAATGTTAAT